CCAACATGGCGACTTCCGTCGCGCTGTCCATCGTCCGACACTCCACCGTGTATCGTTTCCCGGGGTCCTAACCTCTTTTACTTTTTATTTTTTCCTCCTTAGGGCTGGGGGGGGGGGGGGGAGAAAAAAGAAAAATCGAGAGACCCCGTGTGTCCAAGGTCTCTCGACCCTAGGTTCGGCACTCGTAACTAGGGTTCCGACCGACTGGTGCCGAAGCCCACCTTCCAACCTCCGTACACCCTTGCATTTGTCTCTTTGCTTCCTGCAGCATCAGCTTATTTCGTCCATTCGCAATTTTCCTCTACCTTCCTTCTCTCGCTACTCCTTCGATTCCGATCTCACGCTGGGCGCCACGTATCGGCGCGGCCGATCTCGCGAGACGACCGGAGTCGGGAGAAACGATCTGGCGAACGACTCCTCCGGTCTGGTGCCCTGTTTCGCCCCGGTTCCGTGTTACGTACCTGTCGCCAGGGAGCAACGTTTGTTCCCGCTGGACCCTGCGCGATACACGCGTGCACTTTGTGCCCTCGGTGTGTCCCCGGTAGTCGCGTGTTCGTGTCCCCGCGATGGTAAGCGACGAATATGGACCGTGTAACCGGCAGCGTCCACCCGCGAGGCGATTCGGCTCCGAAACGACTCGCGCGTGTCCGCTCGCGTAAAAAGTCTCGTGCGCTGCCGTGATTCATAACGACTGTGTCCCTCGCGTGTTCGTGTCCCGATATATACGTATTCGCGTGGACACGCGAGTGTCGGTGTCTGTATTCGTGTATCGGTTCGCGTGTAGGAAATGCTAATTCCAGGGTCAAGGAGCTCTCGAGGCTCGGTTTCAACGGCGGGGCACCAGCTGGGGGGCTCGTTCGCCTCCTCATCCCTCTTGCCTCGCTCTTCCTACCGCATCCTATCGATGCGATATACGCGCAATTTTCATACGAAATTTTCCTCCTTTTCGTTTTTAGTTATTATTCCTGTTTTAACACCTTTTTAGGACTTTTTGTTTGTAATTTTTTGGTTGATGTTGTTGCTGTTGCAGCAGAATTCAAGGGTTATTAAGTACGGGGATTGGGGGTGAACCTCGCGCGCCCTGCCGGCCAGGACTTGTACCTCACACAACTCCCTAGTTACGAGTACCGAGACCTAGTGTTCTGGTAGTGATAGTTCCGATCGCGTACGACTTCTGGGCATCAATCTCGCTCGGCTCTCTCGGCTCACTCTTCGCTGTTTCCCTCAACGCGTCTGCGTTCCCGTTTTGCCACGCGAAAGAGTCCCGAATTTTTCGTCGATCGTCGCGAGCGACCCTGCTTAAAAGACACCCTCGATGGACCGTAAATGCAAATGATGGAACGTCGAAAGCCTGCGAAACGATCGGGTCTCGTCGACCGACGAGTTAGACGCTCGGATGCGGCGATCGCTAGACGGTGACCCAGAAGGGAGCCATCGGTGTATTTTAAGCAGGGTGAAATCGTCGGGACCGCTCTATCGCCGTATGTACAATTAACAACGTTGTTCCTTCGTGTCCTTTCTTTCCAATCGGATGAACGCCAGTCGCGCTCGTCTCGCCCGGTAACCGCTAATCGAAAGCTACTAATAAGTTAGAAACTATTTTACGTCTACCACCGCTAAACGATTTTCACGAGCGTTCGCGCGGACTCATCCATTCTCACCTTTCTCGCGCTCATTTTCTCCCTCACTCGCTCTCTGTCGCTCCAGCGCTCGTGTTGCACGCGCGCGCGCGATTCTTAAATTAGAAATAACTCGAACAAGTTCCGTTTAAAAATAGACACAAAATTCATCTTGTCACGCATTATAAGCCTTACATCCTATTACGTATATCCTGATCACGATTAATAGTTCGGTTCAG